GCAGTTTCTTACTAGATACAAAACAGAGGAGCAAGGAAAAGAGCTGTGCTGAGACTCAAGAGGAGAAAGAATCAAATTGATACATTGGATCCCATAGTATGTCAGTTGCAATTTTATTTTTGTTTGGTATCATGTACTAGGAATAATTGTGCACAATGCAGGCAGAAAATCTAAAATAAATAGAGATTTTATTCAGTGTTTCACTACTTTTTAGCTATTTCAACAAACTGTTATGTGGCCGTATAGCTTGGGCCTCTGGGGTATGGTTTAGAGAAATTATTCAAGGTTATAATGCCTGGGGTACTGTTGTTGAGGAGTATTGTTTTGTGGTAAGAAGGACACGGAGGTGAAATGGTTGGTTTACTGCACTACACATCAAGCTGTCTGGGTTTTGAGGCAATGGCTATTAAGGGCCTCTGCATTGTGTTCTTGGGAAAGAGACTTTACTCTCACACTACCTCTCCCCTCGTAGGTGTACAAATGGATACTGGGTGTACTTAATACTGGGTGCGAACTCTGCGACAGACTTGTATCCCATCCAGGGGGCAGTAGAAATACTCATTATTGCTTGATGTGACAGAGACCTGGATTAACAAAAGCTGTGGTGGTTAACATCACTTGGCCTGATGCAGACTTAACCTTAGCAGATTTTATTTGTTGAACCTTGCCCCCTGTAGGGTTGAAGTGTATGTAAAAAAAACTGATGGTTTATTTTAATTGTGTAGATTTTGAAATTAAGAGGTTAAGGATGTCACAAAGGTTAAAATATTTCCTGTTTCTTACTAGATACAAAACAGAGAAGAAACAATGAAAGCTATGAGGGGAAAAATTAAATCAATATTGGACCCCCTACTAGGTGAGTCACGATTTTCTTTTGAAAGGAAGGGTGTAAGATACTACTGTACAATATTCAGGACATTGTTTTTCCTTTATTTTAGCTTGCATTTATGTATGTCTTTCTTCTTTTATGATAATAATATCGTCTNTGATGGTTTATTTTAATTGTGTAGATTTTGAAATTAAGAGATTAAGGATGTCACAAAGGTTAAAATATTTCCTGTTTCTTACTAGATACAAAACAGAGGAGAAACAATGAAAGCTATGAGGAGAAAAATTAAATCAATATTGGACCCTCTATTAGGTGAGTCACGATTTTCTTTTGAAAGGAAGGGTGTAAGATACTACTGTACAATATTCAGGACATTGTTTTTCCTTTATTTTAGCTTGCATTTATGTATGTCTTTCTTCTTTTATGATAATAATATCGTCTTTAATTTAAATATTAATTTAAATTAACTTAGCATGCAGCCAACGCCAACTTATATCTACATGACAGTGACCAACTCGAAAGCTCATTGGCTACTTTGGTCACTGTGCACAATTAAATATTGTTCGTTCTAGTTAATTTCTATCTGTATTTATTTTTTACCATATCATTGTAAACTATCTTTCGTGAAGTTGCTTTTTTCTGTGAATAGTGTGCGATAATAAAGAAAACTGGAAAAAAAAAAACTGTTTTTAATCACTTGATGGTCCATGCACTAGGAATACATGTAATTGAAAAATCAAAGAATTTAAACGAATTGAGATGTTTTTTTTTTCACTGGTCAAATATTTCAAGAAGCTTTTGTTACTTGGCTAACTGGATAACCTAGCCCTTCAGGGTTACATGTAGGTCATGCAAACATTCCTTAAGAATATAATGCCTGCGGTAATGTTGTTGATGAATGTTCAATTTGTGAGCCCAGGGTCCTAATCAGATCAAAAACCAATTGCTTTATGGTTCATGAGTAATCAGCTTAAAATATCTCTTAACAGTTTCAAATACAATCATGAAGAAACAGTAAAGAGGATTTAGAGAGTGAGCTAAAAAAAGGAATTGTCTACATATAGATAACTCAAAACCCGTAAGGAGAATTTGTTTCTTGACTAAGCACTCTGAATAAGGACTAAGCAATGACAAGAAAGGTTATGAACCGGACGATATTGTCTTGATTTATCACCAAATTCTCAGAACAAACCCTGAAAGAAATTTACATCAAAGAACACCAGACAGCCCAGAAATTTGACGTGAAGTTCTTGTTGAAAAAGATGNCATGACAGTGACCAACTCGAAAGCTCATTGGCTACTTTGGTCACTGTGCACAATTAAATATTGTTCCTTGTAGTTAATTTCTATCTGTATTTATTTTTTCCTATATCATTGTAAACCATCTTTCGTTAAGTTGTTTTTTTCTGTAAATAGTGGGTGATTATAAAAAAACTGAAAAAAAAAACTGTTTTTAATCACTTGATGGTCCATGCACTAGGAATAATTGAAAAATCAAAGAATTTAAACAAGTAGAGATATTTTTTTTCCTTCGCTGGTCAAATATTTCAAGAAGCCTTTGTTATTTGGCTAACTGGATAAGCTAGCCCTTCAGGGTTAGGTCATACAAGCATTCCTTAAGAATATAATGCGTGAGGTAATGTTGTTGATGAATGTTCAATTTGTGAGACCAGGGTCCTAACCAGATCAAAAACCAATTGCTTTATGGTTCATGAGTGATCAGCTTAAAATTTCTCCTAACAGTTTCAAATATAATCACGAAGAAACAGTAAAGAGGATTTAGAGAGTGAGCTAAAAAGGGAATTGTCTACATATAGATAGCTCAAAACCTGTAAGGAGAATTTGTTTCTTGACTAAGGACTCTGAATAAGGACTAAGCAATGACAAGAAAGGTTATAAACCGGACGATATTGTCTTGATTTATCACCAAATTCTCAGAACAAACCCTGAAAGAAATTTACATCAAAGAACACCAGACAGCCCAGAAATTTGACGTGAAGTTCTTGTTGAAAAAGATCATTTACTTTATCATTTCAAGAGTGCCAAAGTGAAAAATATGTACCTAATTTTATTTTTCTATAGAGAGTACATGAAAATACTGCATAGATTCGATTTGAGGGGACAAACATAGGGATCTTATACGTAGATTTTATTGCTTGAATCACCTTGTAGAGCATAATAACAGTACCACATGAGAGAACTGCATGTGTCCTGAAGGCGTACGTGAAATAACTTTCTTGGTTGCAAACTTCAGCCTCGTCATATGCTAAAACTGTAATAGTAGGAGAGAAATGTTTGATAACTGCGTTCAAATTACGAAGTTATTTAATATATTATTAATATATTTTTTTTTTGCCATGACATTTTCGGATTTCCACCGTTATGTCAATTTCCCTCTGGGATTTCAGAGACCACTGGGAATGTCAGTCTTGAAATAGCTGTCAAAGTGAAAGTCGTTTCCTGTCCTACGTTTACTTTCATAAAAGCCGCCTTGTCAAAACTTGCTGTAGCTGTCGTGTTGTCAGATCAAAGGTGAACAAGAGAAAACCATAATTACCCGTAAATAACTGGCAAATCTATGACTAATGCACTACTTGTCTTGCACGTAACTCTAAGAAAACGGTTTTCGCTTGTTTACTAAGTATTGTATTTGAACAACAGTTTGATTGTCTTGATTCAATTTTTGTGTGTATTTGGTCATAAGCGTCCGACAAATTACATAACCTTTATTTTAACGCTGTAAAAGTGTGAAGCTCCCTGAGAGCTTTTTTATTTTCAAACATTTCTTAAGTTATATAAAGATTGGCGACTATCAACCACGCATAAATTCATTTTCGCGAAGAAAATGCAAATGTTGCCTGTTTTGTCGCAAATATTTTTTGCCGTGAAAATTTTCGCATGTTATTTTTGCCGCTGAGCTTTTCGCCTGCAAATGTTGCAAATAGGAAGGTTAATTTTAGAGTGCTATATATAATTTATATCATTATGTAAACTCCGTGTATTTCGATGATGATGATATATCCACACGACAAACGCATTCCTGGTGAGAGAATTAACTTGTAAACTTTAGTCGACTATAGACTGTGTACACTGCAATGTATATTTTGTTCTTTGGGTTTCAGTTGATTGAACGTTTTATTTGTCTTTCTTTCAGGCTGTCATCTCAAGTGTACGTGAAGCGACATTAACTTGGAGAAAGAAGCAAAGGAAAGCAAAGAACTTCGTTTAGATGTTTCCTCAGTGGATCAGGTTTTATAAGTGTGGTAGATTTCAAGACAAAGTTTATCTCGATCGAGTTTCTTGCGACAAGATTGCTAGGGCGGAGCTCGTATAAGTGATCTCACAACACAAAACTCCAGAGTCAAAAGGAGACATTGGAATTACTGTCAAGTTGTCTAGTATCTACCAAATTGTCTCGTATCTTGCTAGTTTTCGAGGACGCCGTGAACTATATTTCAAGTTTGTAGCTTTAAATTTATGGTAGAATATTAGCGTGACCTGAATTTTCACCATGGAATTTTCACCCTGGAAGTCTCGTTATTAAACTCGTTGAAATTACTTGTCTAGTATCAATTTACTGAAAACTTTCTAGTTTTCGAGGACGCATTGAATTGATATAAAAGGTTGCGCTTTTAAAAGGGCCAAGAAAAATAATCGAAAAGAAACTAAGCCTTCTAGTAGAGTTGTCCTTAGAAAAGAAAGTCTGCAATTTTAAATGGTGTCTGGTTTGGAGTCCAACATAGACTGAGTCTTTTGGCGGAAAAATCTTGCACTATGTAGGATTTTCCCATCATAAGACCAAGTATATGGTTGATTTCTGGCTAGACTCTGTTCAAAAGCGCAGAATTTTTTTTCTTTTTGGCAATCCTACATAGTCAAAAAATAGTAAAAGAGAGCCTACATTTTGACTAGTTTCCAGGCCCTTTTAAAAGCGCATTTTTTAATTTTGTTTTATTGTTCAAATTGTTTGTAATGAATCTCAATTGTATTATTAAAAAGCCAATAAAAGACATATTGAAGACGAGTGCATAATTGACTTCTATTTGCTGTTTTATTTTTATTGTCTTAATATTTCTTAAGAACGCTAAAATAATGAACACAATAAAAACCACCTCTTGCTTTTTTCATTTAATTAAATTTTATTGTTTTGCAATAAGTAACTAATTAATTAACTTAAAATCAGTAAAATTAAATTAAGACGTGAGAAGGAAAATATTCGCGTTTAAAAATTAAGACTTTTGGCGGGAAAATATGAAAAATTTGCAGAGCGTTTCCCCTTACAACGTTCTTGAGAAAAAAATTTAAGAGGTTACCCTTCAGAACAACCTCGTTCCCAGGGTCTTTTCCCTAGCTTGGGGGTGGGGCGGGAAAAGGCCCTGGGATCGGCTGGTCACATGATCTCAGAACACCCAAATATCTTGGGTGTACTAAATTATCATATGTTAAACGGAACTTTCAAGATGGCGGTCTCGTCGAGTGAACCAAAGTTTTTGTCAGTGCTTCGTCGAGTCGGATTTTCCTTAAATAACGGTAATTTTCCACCTTTAAATTTAAAACCTCTTCAAATGAAGTGTTTTGAATATATGCTGAAAGGTCAGGATGTTATTGGAGTCCTACCTACTGGATTTGGCAAGTCAATGCTGTTTCACCTTCTACCTCATTTTATTCCTGTGAAGACCACCAAGAACATAGTTATTGTGGTATGTCCATTAAATTCCATCATTGAAGATCAGCTGAAAGTCTTAAAAGCTCGCAGGATAACCGCTGATGTCTTACAGCTTGCTGTAAACGAGAAGGAACCGGCCGAGA